ATTCCAGTCGCCCCGAATGACGTCACCACATTGCGGAGCGTCATTTACCTGGCAGGAAACATGGTGGCTCAAACACTCAAAAGTGTGGTTATACTTTACAAGAACTGATGACAACACGGCAACTTGCAAAGTAGATATTTCATTTAAGGGAGGAAACACTACAAATATGCAAAAACATTTGCTCACAAAACACGCGATAACCTTAAATGAATGTCGTGTTTTTAATTCGCTCCTGACTTGTGAATCTCAACCCAGCAGCAGCGGTAACGTTTGCACGTCCTCTCCCGTTAATGCGGCAGGTAAATAATCAGCTAACAGTGCATATTATGTTAGCGCAATCTGCCTTATTACAAAACCTGCCATTACTGTGCATTTAGGTGACCGTGATGAGAGAGACAGAGTCTGGCTCAGATGCTGGCAGTTCTCGCTGCAGTCTACCGGTAGCGTCTCCTTTCAGGCCAGGATAGACGAATGTCACCGAGCAGTGACTGAGTTTGTGGTAAAAGGCTTGCACCCATTTGCCACAGCAGATGCCCCCGATTTTCGCTAAGTGAATGTGTTTAATTGTAGGCAGGGACATTACTGGATATTCTTGTGTAATTGCTACAGAATAATTTATGTTATACTTTGTTATTGCTACAGAAGAATATTTATTTTATTATTTTACATTTACATTTTTTTTCCTGGGGCCCCTGTGACACCCCATTGAAGAGCCGTAGGTTGGATCTCTTAAGATCTCACTGTTGGGTTTGTAAGGCCATGTTACTTCTAAATTTCTATCTTGTTCAAAGAGACGATATAAAGCAAAGTTCTAAGCTAATCGACCTTCGTGTTCTCCTTTTAAAAAAAGAATCAATAAAGAATCGAATCTTTAAACAGAATCGAAAATGGAATCGGAATCATGAAAATCTTATCAATACCCATCCCTAATCACCTTGCTCTGTCTATACTGCCAGTCTAAAAGTAAGTTGTAGATAGTGACTCCAGTAAACTCCTCCAGTCTCTCAGTAGTATTTTTTTTTTTTTTTTTTTATAAACACAGCATGAATCATGCGAAATCTTCTGATACTTTCAAAATCCGGCTCTCTTCCTGACAATCTCAGCACCAAAGGTTCACCCTGAAGGTGTAACTAATTTTAAAGAAAATTCAGTCAATCCTTAAACTTTTTAAAAAGCTAGGCACTGCTGGTTTTAGCAACATTGGGTCAGACGGGAATACACTTCAAATTTGTTGAAGGCTAATTTCAGCAGAGGATTGACACACAAGAGAATGTTTGTGATCCTGAAAATAATTTAAACAATAATCAAAGACCAATGAAAAGATGTACCCACCAAAAAAGCACAATTATTTTTTTGTGGATAATATAAAAACAGTATTATAAAATGTAATAGGTTTTGTTTTTTAATCAGGCTTGTCAGTTATTATCTTTTTCTTCCTTTTTCAGGCAACGTCCAGATCAGTCCCTCAAATCCAACTACCAACACCATCCAAGGTCCAAATAATGTTCTGTATGGAGGCGCTTTGTACTACAACTGTTACAACAAGGATGCCGTTTGTCGTTTCAACCTCACTTCCAAAATTGTTACCACCTTACATCTACCCAAAGGAACCAGGTTGATTCACTTAACTCTGTTTTTAAAAATGGTTATTTTGTAATAAAGATAATAAATACAGTTTTTATTTTTATAACAAGAATAGCAAATACTCTTTTTACTCATATTTTACTCAGTATAAATATTAGTTTTGCAAACACTCTCATGGCAAATATATTCTTTTAAAAAGGAGAAACCATAAAGTACAGGTCTTTAAGAGATAAGCAAACATGACATTTTTTGGTGTAAAACATTCATTTCTGTCCTCTGTTAATCAGGTACAATGCAAAGGGTAACTTCTGCAACCTTGAAGAATGCTACCAATGCACTGACCTGGACCTGGCAACAGATGAGTCTGGCATCTGGGTGGTCTACACCACCACCCAGGACTTTGGCAACTTGGTTCTGTCCAAGGTGGAAGAGGGTGAACCACCAAAGCTCGGACAAACCTGGCACACTTCAGTCTACAAGCAGGCAGTGACCAACACTTTCATGGCCTGCGGCGTCCTCTACGCCACACGTTACGTCAACCAAGAGGTCGAGGAGATCTTTTACTCCTTCAACCCCGTGACGGGACAGGAGAGGTTCAACGTTGGCATCTTCATGAAGAAGTTGGCTCCTAACATTCAAGCCCTGAACTACAGCCCTGTGGACCAGATGCTTCATGCCTACTGTGACTCCTACATGGTCTCTTACAAGGTGCAGTTTGAGTTACTGGATAATTAGTCCTGAAGTTAAATACTGACTCCAGTAATAGTTACTAAAGAATAAAAACAAGCTTTGACTTTGTGAAAAATGACACGTACTATAAACAAGCATGCATTATTAATTTATATACTAAACCAATTTACTGTTGTCTCTTTCTTTTTACCGTTTTCCTTCAATGAATTAAAATCATACACTTCTGGTGTGCTTTTATTCAGTGTTATATTCAGGCTATGTTTCAAAAGTCAACATGGAGCTACTGGTATAAATTTAGATCAAGTAATTGTATAGGAAGTGTAGACTCCATCAGGAAGTCAGTTCAACTGTCAAACACATCTCACTTCTGAAAATTAGAAATATTTAAAGACCACAAGGTATGGTATTTCCACAATATTATAAAAAGATGCAATATCCTTCAGCAGACAAGGCCTCAGTGCTGGGTATTGCCTTCTGTACCAGAAATGACTTCTGATATTTTGCCTAATAGTTCCCTCATCTCCAACATCAGTTGGCTGAAACATGTTGACCCTTCTTCTCGCCACCTTCAAAATGTTTGATTTACAAGTTTACAAACTACAAGTTTCTGTTAGATTTGTATTGTTGATTGTCATTTATGCTTAGAAATATCTACTCATATATGCTTAGAGTGTTATAATCAATGTCATGTTGGTAGAGGTTTGATCCTTAATAGTCTGCAAAGGCTTTGTGTACATTCCAGAGTGTTCTGGCATTCACACCTACATCTTGGGAGAGGTCAAACCTTCTCTTATTGTTTTATGGTAGGATAAACGTAGCTATATCAGTTTTAGGCTAAGTGCCTTTTGTTTAGATGGACCGCTAGACTCCTGGCTCTAGCTTTGGGGAGTCTTCACAGGGTCACATCTTGACCCCCCCCCCACCCACACACACACGCATGCTTACACAACGCACAGGCAAGGTACTCTTTGTGTGTTTGTAGACGTCATATGTTAATGAACCTATGTATATTCATGTGAGCTCAATAAAAGGAGTGCTATGGGGAACCTGGCTGAGAGTCTGACGGAGGTCAAGTGGGTGGAACGACACTTGGCTCCAGGCAGGTCTCTCTCATGCATGAGTAACACAAAGAACTTTGCCTACTTGGTGTTCAATGCCTTTGCTGTGTAGTTAAATTGTCTCGTTCCAGCGGTGGGCCTGTGCTAGACAGAGCCAACAGTTTCCAAATGTATGTTCACATTATTTTCAAGCGTTTTAATGAGATGATCTACTTTGAATATTTTATTACTTGCCTACATTGTATGTATCTGGTATATGTTCCCATTACTCAGGTGTACAGTACATAGACTGCTAGCCAAAGCTAGCTTGCGTACAGAGAGCAAGCTTGTATAAGAACAGGCCTCAAACCACACTTTACCCTGTGGCCTCTGGCATCATAAACGCAATATTGCGCACTGGTTATGAAGAGAACCTTGAACCTTGAGCTGCTCTATATTAACCACATTTTTGGTGTCTAAGGGCATCTCTCTATTAGGCTTCCCATGCACCCAAAACGTGACAGAAAACACCTGAGTCGTCAAATTCTGACGTAAAGTCTTTATTTCTCACTTGTTACTTGATCAGTACATTGACAGAGACAGTTTACTTTGTATATGTATTTATATAATATATTTAAACTTTCCAGTACACATCTGGATGACAACGAAGCGGTAAGAGTCTTACTGTTGTGAATAGAAACAAGCTCAGAGGGAAGATTCCCACAATATGAAACGATCCAAATGAGAAAAAAGAACTTATTGCTTAATACAAATTGGTCATAATGGGAGTAGGAAGAGAAATAGTGTTAGGACATGGACCAATAAAATACCAAGAGGTTACAACCTATTGTTGTCTTTAAAAAAAATCTCTAAGAGAAGAGGAAAAGAGATACATTTTCGCACAATATAGTAATGCTAGAGTGCTTGGTTGGGGTAACCCGCTCTGTAAATAAAAAGTATCTACAAGTGCAAGGAGGACCAAGGTCTATACAAACTGATCCAGCGCTAGCTTACAGGACCTGTGGACTTTCACAATTCAACTTCACTATTTAAAGACCTCGAAGAGGAAGGAGCAGATAGGAGATGGGTTTTCATGTACATGGTTAAATGTCAAAGATAAAAGAAATGGAAAACATAGTGAGGATGAGGTGTGGGTTGACAATACTGTACAGCACTTCAAAAAGGGACAAGATACATTCAGGAGCCCCCCCAGGCAGTTTGAGTCATGTAGGAGGATGGCAGAAAATAGCTTAGTGAACAGAAGAAACAGTGAAAATGATCACAAAATCTGCTACATGCAACCTTGAGTTTTTGTGAAGTTGGCCGATGAGGTTCTATAAGAACGTCTTTGATCTGATCCCTGTTTTCTGCGTTTTGAGACCATTACTGAATATTTCAAGCAATTCAACAATCTCTCCAGCTTAAACGAATTCACATTCTTTTCCTTTAACATTCATTCAGCCATGTTTCAGGTCAGAATCTCTCTCTGTGTTTTGGTAATGATCTTTTCCCTTCCTCTTTACACAAATATAGCATTTTCTCATTTTCATTCCCAGCCTGTTGCTTTTTAGGGCCCCCTGGTGCTCACAACTATGACTAAAACACTACCGACATCTTAAAAAGTGACTTCAGCTGATAGCCCTTTAGGGTGCAGCTGGGTTTGCCTGTGAGAACCGGGGCACCTTGTGATTTTTTTTTTGTTTTATTTTTTGTTTTATTTTTTTTAGAGGGAGGGGTTTTGTTTTTTGTTTTTTTAAGTGGCTGGGGGTTACCCTACATTCCGAGCTTGGAGCCCAAATGGCGCCAAAAAAGCCCCGCCCCTTACAGGCTGCCTCAGGGAAGTGCACACCTCAGCAATTGGTAGCTACGCCCCTTCTGACAGGGGACCAAAGGGTTTTCCTGTAAAACTGAAAGCAGACGAAGGTGACTATGGTACATGAATACTGTACATTAATGAGCTAAAATCCAAGGGAGCCCATCCCTGATCACTATTAAGGTGATCCAGGATTACAGCAGATTGCAGCACACAGTTGCACTAGTCTAAAACTACACATATATACTCACTATGTTGCACTACACCAGTGAGATCGTGGCTTCACGGCACATCAAAACACCCACTAACCACATAGCAATGGATTCCATCTTGCATGTGAATTTTGTGTATTCCTTTTTTTCCATTACAAAATCCAGCCCACGCAGCTTTCACTTCAGTAGATGTGCGAAAATGTGTGTGTGTGTGTTTGTGTGGGTGGGTAGCTTTGGTATATCCACAAAGAGGGGCTGGATGCTGTAACGGAAGGCAAGTTTCTGTGACGTCGACCCAGAAGCGAGAGGTTGTCGGGCTGGCCTGGTCCTGCCTCAGCTCCCCTCCCTGGTCAAGTTTGGTTTGAGTCAGGCTGTGATTGTCATCTTAAGAGACCACAAAGAGCTGCCTATGGCGAGAACCACATCCATGCACTACAGCTGCAGGCTAATGAAGGTGTTTGCATCCATGGCTCTATTTAACTAGCCACAAGTAAGGTGCTAATGAAGAATGCCCTAATACTAGAAACTAATTACATACTAGAATGCCCTAAGATTACTTTCACATTGACATGCATATACATGTTAATAAATACTTCTTCTATTCTAGTATTATGCAGTGGATTGTCTGAGAAATGTGAGATGACACGCGGCTTAAAGCTGCACTCTGGTGTATTACGCTAATTTAGCTCCAAGCGAAATTTTGGAGCTGATGCATTGTAACATCATGTTCCTGTGCCGGCCCTGCTCATGATGGGAATGTAAAGGGGCTTTCTGTGAATAAACGATTTTTTAAATGCAATTGAAATTGAAATTCTAGCTTTCTGACAAGTTCCTCGTTAACACAAACAGGTTAATCTGCACTTCAAGCTCATATAGCTACATTAATATTCCTCACTTTGCAAACTATATATAAGTATTTTGCTCGTATGGGTGCATTTTCCACCGTCTTTATTAAGCATCTACATGCTTTGCAGTGTAAGATATTAATAGTTTCAGGCTCACTTGATTTCACAGAAGGTGTTTTTCAAGTGCTTCATAACAACTTTGCTGCTACATTGGCTACGTTGGATTTGATGTTTTTAAATAATTTTTGGCTCATTTGATACCAAACAGCTCCAGATTGTCTTCTCACGCAAAATCAAGATGACTCAAAGACGTTAATGTAAATATTATTGTGGCAAAAAGAAGAAGGTAAAGCAGATAAACTGATAAAGCTCCCTGGTGGTGTAGTGGCTTGGTTTTGGTGCGCTTGTGACTGGCGGCCCGCGTGTAATTTCCTGTTTTGAGGTAATGAGCCTCAGAATATGTCTCAGATACTACACATGCAGAAGCACAGACAGCCTGAAAAATAGCTTATTATTTCAAAGTTTGAGCTGTTATAAACCTGGACTATTAATATTTTAATGTAAATGCATCAATGGAGATAAGTTGAAGCATATACTGACAATATCACACTGTTTCAATCTAGTTATAGTTCACCCATTTGAAATAAGGTCTTACCAAGTGCAGCTTTATAGCAACGTTGTGAGCTCTAACTATGCTTACAAATCCTCTCTAGCGCTACAGGTGCACTCAGCTATGACATGCTGTGTTCTGCCGTCTGCCTAATTCTGGACACCCCCCCCACCCGCATGATTCTCAAACTTCACAGAGAGAGATGCTCACAATCTGTCACATAAAAACAGAAAACACCCCATAAAAGTACTGCTCTCACAACACGTTCTCATCCCAAACAGTAACATTTTACGCTAGGTGACAAATCGTCAACATATTACGTTTTCGGGCACCCAACACGTTCCTACATGACGACATCGGAAAACTGAGGACCTATGACAACCGTTTGGACTCAATCTACACATGTTTACTCTTCTCCTTCAAATCGCTTGGGAAAACACTATTTAACACTGGTTAAGCTTAGGAACAAGGTTATGGTTAGGGTTAGGGAGAAGGTTAGGTTTAGGGCTGGAATACAGGGCTGGAACGTCTATTACCGCGGGACCGTCATTCCACTGGATTTCTGCCATAACCCGCCGCGTACCATAAGAACGCGGAAGGTCACCTTTGGCGTTCCTCAGGAACGCCGCGGGACGTGACAAAACGTTGGGATGTTACGCCTCGGGAGTGAGAACGGTCTGGCTCTCATTGCTATGGCCTGCACTTTTACCAGCTCGTATCAGATTTCATCACTAGCTCTTTACAGCATATTTCTGTATGGACTGTTGACAGAATTACTGTTTTGTGTTTTTGGGGGGTGGGAGGTTAGAAAGGGTGCACGCAAAGAATGAGGCCACACTCAGCAAACACAAGAATGACACTTCAAGAGTAAATGCTAAATCATTGAGTGGTGGGAGAAAGGAAATTGAGGTGGATATTTAAATGTGTTTAGGGTGTTAAAGTAGCGTTACATATGGAATTTTACAGTGGAGGAGGGAAGAAAATGGCAGACACAGGGATAAGGAGGACGTAGATGAAGACAAAGAGAGCTGTCTTCAAATATTACTATCCCTGTCCATCAAGCCTGACTACCTCTCTCACACCTTCAATTCCACCTCTTGTTTGCACAGCCCGCCTCACTGTTTCTCTCTCCATCCCTCTACTTCCTCCCTCCCTCTTTCTTCCTGTGGTTTCTCAGCAGGACACCTCCATGGTATGGGTGACTGCGCCGACTCCCTCAGTGCTGTCCGAGTGGGTGCAGGCTCGTGAGCGGGATCCCTCCACGGAGCCACCGCTGGTCAGGGAAGCCGTCCTGGAGCGAGCTAGGCGGGTCATACTGGCTGAGGGCACTGGGAGAAATTTCAACATGTCAAATTTCTTACATTTTTGAAAAAATAAATAAAAAAGTGCAATCAGTAGATGTTGGGGGGATGTAGGGAGCACATGCTAATGTGGATAACTGAAGAATATGTTTCTTCATAGCAGGTGAGAAACGGCAGCTGACTGGCTCATACAACAGTCATGAATTGTTAGGCTTGTTAATTAAAGCTGTTAATGTGTCTACCTGGAGACACATTAACAGCACCATGTACTCAGTCTGTGATATAATAAGCTCAGTTGTTCTCATGGGAACAGACTATGATTAGTGTGGAACTGGGTTTGTTTGGTCATTATTAAATGACTGCACTGAAGAAAGATAACAAGTTGAGCAAAGACATTTTTGGATTTCCTTAGAGTAATCAGGATTAAGTTAACCTGTATTCACACTTCACTGACTTATTATGGCTCCTTCAGGAAGGTGAAACAACCCAGAAAAGCATCCCTGACAGTTTTAACACCACACACGTTAGCCTACAGTTTTTCACTTACACAGTCAGTAGACAAAGACCAACATCAGGAGCCTGTTTTCAGCCAATTTGCACATTAAAGTTTAATATTTCTTCTTTGACCTCCATTATTACCTGGGTATTTTGTTTTGCTTCCCACTGAAAATAAAACTAAAATTTGCTGATAGGAAAAATGAGCAAAAATCCATAATTTGTAATAAATTGGAATGCAAAGGTAACCCTGGGATATTTGAATATCAAAGCTGAGTTTTAAATAAGGTCAGAAAATCATGGCTATTTGCAGAAAAACACTCAAAGCTCTGGACTTAAAATTCTCCTATCAGGTAAGCTATGCTTTTTAAAATCTTCTAAACAAAGTTCAGTTCATTTCATTCCATCTTTCTGTGATACAAGGGAAAAATAAATGTTTAACCAGTGTAACTAAAAGCAACTTGGTTTTGTCAACAGTTTATTTACGTTTTTTAAAGACATGGTGTATTATTGTTAACTTGGTCTGAAAGTCTTTGCTCAAAGCTAGCTGAACGCCATGCAAAGAGCAGGACTGGAGATGCAATGGTAAAGGAATGGGGGGAGTGGAAGTAAGGGCAGTATATTTTTCCATTGGAGGAAAAATTATATTTGATAAAACAAAGATGGGGGGGTTAATGTCCTTAGGATAAAAGAAACTCCAAAAATGAGAGCAAAAGTTAAAAAAAAAATAACCATAATAATAATAATAATAATTGCAGCCCAAAATATTATATTCACAACCAAATGAAATTCAAAAGAAATTCTAAAATACCACGGTCATTGAATAGGGCAATAACAGGTCAGAGGTGAACGGGGAGGAGGAAGTACCTGGCCCTCCACTCAACCTCCGATCCTTCACATTAGCGACTGAAAGAACGGGGCAAGGAAGACAGAGGGCAAGATTAATATTGGTCATAACCCTCTGCATAAAATACATCATAGCACACTCACTCGACACTACAAAAATACACCTGAAAGTAAATTTTAAAAATAAAACAAAAAACACTGAATCCCACTCTGTCTCACTAACTATGGCGGTTTGGAGACTTACTGTAGCCCATCCCCTGCAGGAAATACTTGAAGGCTTCTGTCAGTTTGCCGGGCTGGAAAAAAAACACATCAGAGTTTTTATTCCACTCAATTCTGAGGAAACAGTGTCTTAAATGTGGATGGTGAGTTTGTGCTCTGTGGTGTTTTTATTTGTTTGTGTAGCAGCATCTTCATGATGCAAAGTGGTTTGTTTGTGTTACCTGTGTGAGCTGGGGCAGTCCACCAGAGTCAGCCATCTGCCACGGGAGGAGACAGCAGCCATCAGCCAACTAGCATATGATCAATCAACCATCTCTGTCTGTGTGACAGATCTATCTATCTATCTATCTATCTATCTATCTATCTATCTATCTATCTATCTATCTATCTATCTATCTATCTATCTATCTATCTATCTATCTATCTATCTATCTATCTATCTATCTATCTATCTATCTGTTTGGTGTCTTTGGTGGTCTATCATCAAGGTAAACAATGTCTATGTTATTATTTTTCTTGTATTTTCTTCTTTATGAAACATTCTGTCAGAATATATCGACCCAAGTATTTCTAAAGCTTGGGTTCAGTATTTCTTGTTTGTGAATATGTTCATAAATGTGTTCAGATTTATTATTCAACTTCTACACACTGAATTACTTCCAATGTAGAGTAATTAAGAAATAGCTATTTAGGATGTTTACCAAAATTAAACATATTTCTTTGAACAACACAACACTAAAGTAAAAAGGGTCAAAATAGCTTTTTAGAAAATTACTGAAAACTGAAACAAGTTGTTTTATTGCTGATGATCACACGTCTACTTTTCCTTTGTGTGTCTGACTTTAAAATGTTGCTTCAGTGAATCTACAGCAGTAGTAGGTGAAACGAGAGCAAACGTTTACCTTCAGGAAGGTGGTGTTGGTCGGGTCCAGTTTGGAGTTACACTCGACCTTAAAGACAAAACAGCAGGTTGAGCTGACTAAGCCAGATAACAAGAACAATCACATCTTTTTGCATGCTTTCTGATGACTTCATCAGGCAACATAACATAAATGTCCACACATTTACAGATAACATTCAAGTACAATCACGTTTATTTAGATACAGGGAAATTCAGAGTGTTTTACTAAAAACGTAATAACACACAAAAATATATTGTTGAAAGGCGTTCCTTTACTCTCAGGCAAAATAAGTGAGCTACTGTTTTTATAGTAGTGGTTTGCATGGCCTCACTGGTTACGTCAAAAATTGTTGCAGAATACAGAGCCGGGGGCCAAAAGTCACACTAGCAAGATTGGTGACACCATGATCAGTATGTTTCCCAAACTATGTAATTTTCTGCACACATACCAAATACAGTAACACTTAAAAGAGATTAACAAGATAACACAAGACAACACAAGATAACACTGGCTTCTTAGAGTTAACTCTTTCCCCCATAAAGTTGACATTGGATGACCTCCACTGTACCTTTATGATGAGTTTTGAAACCTCAATATAAATCAATAAAAACATGGTTTGATGACCATTAGAACAGATTCTGGATTTTTCCTGTACAGGTAAGCTGTATAGGCAGAGCTCACCCTCTTCTGACTGAGCAAATGTGACGGATTGTCATGGTCCTGGGTCGGTGACTTTTTGTACTTTTACTTTTGATAGTTTTATGTATTATGACTGTTGTGTTTTAGTTTCCCAGGGTTTAGTTTGTGCTCCCTCTGTTTGGTGTCATCCCTGCCTGTGTATTACCTCTAGTGTAGTCAGGTCTCTGTGTTTAGCCCAAGTCTCTGAGTCTGTGTCTTTGCGTGTGTGTATTTTTCCTGTTTTACTTTGAAGGTCCGTGTGTGATCTCAGTATGTTCAGTTTACGTTTCCCCTGTCCCGTCATGTCTGATTACTCCCAGCTGTGCCCGCCTTCTGTGTCTCATTCCCTCGTTATCCTTCTCTGTATTTAAACCTGTCTGCCTCTGTTAGTTGCTGGTTTGTCTGCGTGTCTTCCTCTGTTGTCGCTGGTTGTCTCTCCATGTCTCCTGCATCTCCATGTGTCTCTAGGTTTCAGGTTTGTTTTCTATGCTTAGTTTTCCCAGTTTAGGTTTTACTCAGTTCTGTTTTTGCCACCCTCGCCTTTGTTTGAGCACGCTCCTTTAATAAAGCTTCCTCACCTCAGTTGTGCTGCATCTTGGGTCCTTTAATAATTCCATACGGCTCGCCTCGTGAACCGTGACACAGATATTACCAAACTTACCCCTAATCCAAAGGGAAAAGAGTTAAACTTCTCATCTCTTACAAGGGTACATGTCATGTACCATTTAACCAGTTATGCCTAATATACTGCATGTGCTGCGGAGACTTCCATACGGGTTTTACTGTGTCACTTTTAGCTTGGATTATATTTTTTAATTCCTCAGATCTGTTTGGCTATATTGCTTGGTTTTCTATTTGGGGCTCTGCTGTTGTTCATGTCCATGTGATTGGCCATATTATGCCAAACCTTACAAATGAACACACTCAAAGGTTGATTGGGGAAATGTGAGCTGACAGTGAGTTCATAACTAACATCCACCGTTGGCCTATCTTAATGAAGATATTCTAATTCTATTGATTTTAGACTTCAGTGCAAGAATCAAGTCTAAGATCTAAAAATGCAATTTGCAGTGAGCAAGCAACAGCTATAAAGCCAAATGAAACTGCTTGCTATAATTAAAAGACACGACACACCTTAAACTACTAACCCATATAGAGTGCTGGTGTGCTTTCAACACACACTGAAACACTTGCTATAGATGGAAAACTTTCAACTCCAAGATAAACAGTGTCAGGACTTTATCAGAGATGGTGAATGTATAGTCCATATATGGAGACGACCCAGATACTGCAGTATGCTGCAGAGATGACTCACTCCAGCAGGATAAGATTCATCCGCAGTGTGTGCACACACAGATGTGCACAGAAACACAAACGATGCCTAACTGCTCACATGTGGACATGCAAAAGCACATTCAGGGCATCACACAGAAACCAACGAGAACATGCTTTTGCTCTCTGCTGCATTTAATCTTTAATCCTTTACACAGATTCCAAAAATACATTTTTGGTAATCTTGACAAAATAAACACGTATAACTGTGAGATGAATGCACATCTGCACTTTTTTGAATAAAATAAGAATTTTTCTTAATTTTTTTAGACAAGCTTCATCTGCTGATACAAAACTGCATATCAATTACAAATTATTTGCACAGCTACAACAAAACAGTTGCAAATTAGTTGCAGGAAATGCAAATGTGACTCTTATAAATATGCATCTCTCCATATTCCACTCACTCTGCATTAACAGAATAGAATGGAATAGAAATAGCCTTTATTGCCTTTATTGGAAAATTGCCAGGCAGATGGAGCATGCAAATTAGTAAGTAAAAGGAAATATGTGTAAGAATATGTACAAAATGTGCCGCATATTTATGCTTAAAAAAAGGAAGAAAGAAAAGCGTAAAGTAAGTGGAGCATACTCAGCAGCCTCAGCTGGTCATATCAGCAGATATGAAATATTAATATGACCTCCATCTGTCACATCCAATAAATTAACCTCTGTTCACATCTCTCACTTCCTCGCTTCCCTTCCCTCCATACCTGCTTCCATCTCTCCATCCTTCTATCTTTTCAAGAGGTTTTATAACAACAACATCACTCTCCCTGCATCTCGTTCTCCATCTCACAGAGGATGGAGTGATTTGATATCAATTTGAACAGGCGGCAGATTAACTGGTGCAGAAGCACACATATCTGGGCCACTTCAGACAGCCCCAGAGCGAGAACGAGGCCATCTGGCCTCTGGAGAACACGTACACAAATAGACACACACACCTATAGTACACCTATAGTAATGCAGACAGGCAGGGGAGAAGGAGGCTTGTAGAGATGTCTCTGCTGGCTGACCTGTTTCTTTATTCATAAATGAGCACAGAGTGAGAACAAAATACTGAACAGAGTGAGAACAGGTGGAGGAAGAAGGAGGGGAGGGTCTGCTGGTAAGCTAATTTTTATTTACTCTGACAAACTGAGTCAGCTCTGTGGGGAATTTATAGAAGCAACATAAAGACGAAAAGAAACTGATGAAGCACGGCTACTACATGATGAGACAAAAAGGTCACAGACTAATTCCAAGTCCCCTCAAAATAGTCATACAAGCCTAAGTGATCCCACTCTGCACATTTTCTCAAAGATAAGTTCATTAAGTGAGAAATGTTTAAAACCTGCAGAGACTTATCCACTGAATCTTCAGCTTTAATGAGCGTTTAGGGGTTTCAGCTACTTATTCAGCTGTTATTAAAGTGCTTTAATGGTAACAGAGTAGAGGTTCTGGTACTAGTGGTTTAAGGCCATTTGGGGTGTGACCAATATAAAACCTGTGCGGGATCATGTTTGGTACCTAAACAGGGAGAGAGATTTTGTTAAATACCCTGATGAATGCATTGGTCAAGCATTACAGTTGTTTTTATGGAGCTTTAGTGCATTCATGGTGGCCTTATTGGTGGCATCAGACAGACACAGTTAGTGATTAACACGTGAGCATTTAGCAACTAAAGAACCAGATCTTTCTCTAAGGAGCTGGTGGAGACCAAAAGCGAAGCTAAAAGAGCGTAAACTAGACTAATGTTTGTCACATTGCCAGAAACATTGGTCGGAATAAATGTAAAGTTTTGATGTTTTGCAAGTAGGAAAGAGAAGATTTTGATCAGTGTAGCTATCCAAGTAATGAATATAAAATATGAATCCAACTGAAAGATTTTTTGTTTGTCTTAACTGGCTTTAGACAAACAGAAAGAAAAAGAACAATGACTCACCACTCCTTCCTCTGCAGGCGCATTGTCTCCAACAACCAACATCACAGGACACCTAGAGGCCATCAGTATTCTTTGTGAACATCTTAAAAATTTTAAGCATTGACATGATTTTGCTAATTATCACTTACAGCACACGTAACTCTCTCAGATTAAATATATGTCTGTTGTTCTGCTGTCGGGTCCAGACTACATGTTTGAAGATGCCTTTTACAAGAGAATCTTTTACATTATATTATCTAATCTTTTATAGCTGTTTATAATATCATGTGACTGTATTTACTCAACACAAGAAACTCATTATTCTAACAGCTGGTCAGCTGATTCCAGTGGTGTGTCAGTCTGTCCAAAATTAACAAAAATAAAAGCTTTAACCTCCACTAAACCTTAGATAACACTGTGCTGTGATGGCACATCTGAAGACTTACTTCAGGGTCTTGGCGTTAAGCACTGTCCCACTGCGGTTCATCTCCAAGTCCCTCCGACTGAAAGGGGCAAGACAAGATAGACAAGTTTAAAAAAAAAAACGCTGCGTGTTTATGTTTGTTGTTACGTTTATTATTCATATTACATATATTTATATTACTTAAAAATACACTGAGTTTGAGCTTCCACCTGTTGTACATGTTCCAGAAAAGCTGCAGGTTGAAGTGGTTGATGTTGTTGTTGATCTGCTGCCTGTAGCTCTGCACCAGCTCTGTGTTGCTCACCAGCTCCTCCTGCACAGAAATACAGCTGTGGTCAGTAGTACTCGCAGTTATACAAGAATAAATAATCAGTCGAATTGGATGATGACAAAATTACTTTATTAAAATTGTTTTTTTGGGGTTTTTTTGTGCTGCTCTGTGAGGATTTTTGTGCTGCTCTGTGAGGTTTAGCCCCCACTGAACTGGTGCTGAATGCAAACCCTAACCGTACCTGTACCTTTGGTAATCCGAATACTTGATGTTTGTTTTCAGTGTTATGATGAAATTGTTCCCCAAAGTTTTGTCAATCAAGGAACAAAGAAAACCATAATTGCTTCTTAGAATGAGGAACCTGTTATTAAACTTCAAAGAGTTACAGTAAACATATTTTCTTCCTGTTTTCCCGTCATGCTTGAACAATAACTGTAACTGTAATTTTTTTGGACAATTACAATGTTTTTTCCCTGGCATAAACAGTTTTTGAAGAGAGCAAAAATCTCATATTCTAATGGGGTTTGGATTAGGGTTAGGTTTCTATGGTTTTCACCTGCAATGACTTTGACCTCAGAAACTTAAGCACACTGGAAATTAAACAACATTATGTTTAAAGGTGAGTTTACCTGGCTGAAAAGATGTGGCAGCACCGTATCCGGCAGAGCGCTGGTCAGACCTGACAGCTAAGGGAAACAGAGTTATTGCAATGAGAAATATAAAAGGCATACGTAGGCTGATAAATGTGAAAATGGATGGATTAATGGATGGACACAGTATAGGAGAGGTACCTTGGTAGCAGCCCAGTCAATCCATCCCTTGCCATTGGGGTCGATGTTGAGCAGAACCAAACCCTCTACCAGCTCAGGGAAGATCAGCTGAGCGTAAAAGACAATAGAATCTTTTTGCACACCTAAATGGAAATGCTATTGTTGTTTCATAAATAACAATGAATAACTTTTGACTTACAGCAAATTTGGCCAGAATATAAGCTCCAGCTCCAACACCGATTCCAACGATGCTCTTGAATCTAAACAAGATCAACGAGACAAATAAGGATGCAATGGTTTAAATAATTCATATGTGTGGATACCACAAGTATTGCTGCAGTGCCTACATGACAGAAAACTACTGTAGGACACACAGATGGGAAATTTATACGTGCAAAGAACAAGTGTTCTATATCTCAGACATGAAAGGTACTGTAGGCTCAGACTAAAATTATATCCAGCTGGCAACATCTGATATTTTCTAGTCCTATAAATTAATTTTCTACAGTTGTCATTAAATGAACTGAAAATGCATGACACTCGTTTTCATGTGAGGTGATTTTGTGTAGAACACAAATGGGAGCAGAAACATTTTTCTCTGATTTTGAACAATTTAACATGAAAATACAAGAAAAATACAGAATTTTTGTAAATTCAAAGCACAGAGCACCCACCCAAAGTGCTCCACAACAGTGGGCAGCATGCCAGCCAGCTGGTCCATGGTGGGGTACTGGTACCTATGGAGAGAAAGTAATGACTCATTTCACTCGAAACAATTTAAAAATCTATCAGATTCAGAACTCAGATGAGTTATTCCCAACATTTTTCTTTCAAATGTCAACCACCCGTTATGCTGTGTAAATGGGCGCTGTTTAAAGTGAAAGTAATTATATAGAGTTCTATGTGCAGGATCTGGACGGTTCAGTGACGTCTCTGTTCCCCTCAGTTAATGGTTCTAGATAATGGCACTATCTGCACTCATGTTTAAACAGATTATGCACTATCATCGATGACCATTGATGAATGAAATTACCCTTTTTGTCTTTCTGTTTGTTGTGATTCCTATTAAGGAAACTGCTTAATAGGAATCACAAGTTTGAATAATAATAATTTTTGGACTGACCAGCTCATAATAAGACTTTTCAAATGTAAAACCATTACACCCCCATAAATAAATACAATAAAACTAGATAATAAAATTATTCTATAGTATAATCAATAAAGGGAATATCACAATTTAAGAAATTAATTCAATTAATGATTTAAGGCATAAAAACCTATAAAACTTCTCAGTTTGTAAATGACTCCACTAAACACGAGATAATTAATCAGGGAAGAATAAATAATTCTCCATTCATTAGATGTGTTTTTTGTACCCTTGTGGGAACTGTGATGCTCCAGTCTGCTGTCCCGGGGCATCGACGTGGCACACCACAAAATGCTTGGTGATCTCCTGCATGTCTTCATTACTGAAGAAAGTGTTGAAGCACAGCTTGTCTGTAGGAGAGTGAGGAAATAAGCAGAGGTAGCACGGGGTGAGAGGACGGAGGGCTGGGAGCAGAGGAACGTGATCACATTGAATGTGCACCACACTCTGAGAGGATCTTGAAGGTGGCCATCTGTGCAGCTCATCCTCTGCCAGCAAGGAAAGGCAAAGTCTCCTTCTAGCAAATCTGACACACAGCTTTTATTCACCTTTGTTTCTAACTGAACTGATGAATTTCTTTATTTTAATGTGGTTTTTACACTTTACAAAATGGTCTGAAAATGATCTTCAAATGTCACTGATGCTTGGTGATGAGAAAACAGTGAGAATAGCCAAGGGCTGCGTGGAGATGCTGCATATGCAGTAGTGGGACATTCATTGCACAAAAAAGAGAGGATCCATATTCTTTTCTTGGACGGAATGTCTGATTTATTTCCAGGGTCACGGAGGATTTCCCTCACTGTAGAGCTCTATTTCCTGAACCACCACAGAGAACATTAAATTCTGAAATAGCTTCATGTATAAAAGATGTCAGTTCTCTTATGCCCTCCTCCCACCGGCTCTGCAGTTGGCCTATTTTCTGCTCATGTGTGTCAGACTCAGTGAAGCCATGCAGCAACATTGTTTCCTCCTTGGGCTCTGCCTGAGCAATGCTAATTAAACGGACCAATTAACAAGACAACTAGGCTAGAGATGAAAATCAGGGGAGGGGAGCTGGACGCTCTGACTTTGCCGCAGTGCCGGCTTGCGGGCAATAATATGAATGCTACGTGACCACTGACGTGAGAAGTTTCTCATCACCAACACGCTGAATCACCGCTCAGCTCTTTCACATTATACTCCTACTGACTCCGTGACCTACTTTCTCCCTCTGTACTTTCTTTATCTGCCTCTCGTTCTTCCTCTCCTTTTATTTCCCATGCCCTGCATCCTGTACAATTAGATGCACACTTTGTTTTCTTTCCTAACAATTTCTACTCCGTGACCTGATTTCTACTTCTTAAATGAGCCCTTCTCTCCCTCGGCCTCTCTCTCTTTTTGCTGCACTCCTAATCTCTTTATCTTTATTTCACTTTCTATTTTTTCCCAGCCCCCTCCTGTTCTCTTGTTCTCTCTTGATCTGTGTTTTTAATAGAGGGAACTGGCAGATTGCTGTGCCATCTGCTGATTGGGAGTCATTTTAATGGAACAATAAGCCCCCCACCAATTTTTCTTTATGCTTTCTATTTTTTACTGTGACTCCTTTCATCCCTCGCTCTTGCTCCATCCTATGTGATTGTGTGCTGCAGTCAACTGATTTAGTGACTAGCTGTGAATACTAATAGCCCTGTGGTTCTGCTGCAGCAGCAGAACATTTTCTATATGCATAATATTTGTGTGTACTTTTTTCTGGAGTGAGTGGATTTACTTGGGTTTTTTTCACCACCTGAGACAGACTGATGCAGAAAAATGTAGTCAGATATTTGCAGTCATACATATATCACCTCCGTTTCCTCTCATACCATCCTAATTCACCCCACCCTCCTTATCCCACCTCCACCCATCAAAGCAGCACCGCAGTGCCGCTGGCGCCGCCTCGCCTCCCTCTGCAGGATGTCCATGTTTTTCTGACCTACATTTCATCGATGCCTCTCAGCATCTCAATTTAAGACAAATGCTTTGGTTTTTTTCATTGTTTTTATTTTTACCCCACCTATGTATATGCCTCATTAAATTAAATTAAGTGCAGCAGTGCCTTTGCTCAATGATGGGAGTGTCATGACAGCATCCAGCTCTTGGTGCATGGAATGAAAATCAAGTCGCGATGATATGTTATCTAATGATGACAACATATTTTCTTGTCAAAGATAATTAATCTTGTCAAGCACCAAATGCACACAGCTTTTTAAGTAATTTAATGGTTTTTATTTGTTTCTGTGAGATGATGAAGTCTTTGCTGTGCTAGTTTTAGAGGAAACCTTTATATTGATGATTGGAAATGACTGAAGGAGCTTTGAATGAGTCCCTCTTCAAATGAATCCTTAATTATGTTGTACTGGACTCTGGTGCAGTGACTCAGTACATCGTCTGTCAGAAACACAGAGACACTTTCATGTTCATGCCAAGTTTCTTCTGATTGGCTGGTTCTTGTAAACAGCAGGTTTGAACATTAGTTGTGGGCTTCTCCTGTGTTCATGGCGAGAGCTGACATCATGGAGAGCCAAGACTATAAAAAACTGTCAGCATGATTCACAAATATTTGACCATGGTTACGATGACCGTCCACCACTGAAATAGTATACATGCCCCAAACTGCTGACTCTAAGTCATTGATTACAACGTAAAATGTTCATTTCATGTAATCTGGTCAAAAGACATTTTCTTGAATGGGACACATTCAGTTTATATCAAGCTGATTTCTTTAATAATTTTTTTAAAGAAATTAATTAATAAAAATCTAATCCAATACACGTGCTTCTTTTAAATGTGACTCAGGCTGAAAAAGTGTGTGTTTGTGTGTGTATGTGTGTGTGAGCGTGCAAAGTAAAGGTAGAAAGCCAATTATCACCTTTGATAAGTGCAGAAACAGGAGCATCTGTTAAGACACCAACACAATACTCACGGTTCAGTCCCACATCGTGGTAGGTGAGGATAGCGGGCTTGTTTCCCTTGGGCGCCCCTCGGATCACCACATGCAGCATCCCATAAGGGGTCTCAACATCATGTTCCTGTGAAATACACAAAAGCAGACATTTACCTGGTGGTTCGCACATAGTCGCCAAACAACTCCTTCGAGGGTGCAGATGTCCTCATTAATCCGTTATCGCAAGAGTTTCCCTTTGTGCGCCAGCACACATTAAACACTCATAATTTCACCTGCTTTTTGTTGAACTTGCTCTTTTCTCATTAACAGCCAGTTCACACTACGCTCCTCATTAATCTTCCATGACAGAGGCAAGTGCAGCGATAATTAGTGGATAATCCTACAGATGATCTATTGGACGTTAATTTACTTAGAAGGTCGTGTTTTAAATAATTCAACAGTCAGTGGCTTTCAAGGTCTAGAGTCCAGACTCTGATGGACTATTTTAAAAAGCAGGAATATGAAATATGAAAACAATTTCAGTATCAGTGGCTAACTACTGTTTAGAAATTGCAAAAACAACTAAAATAATTCAGCTGCAAATTGTGTGGAGACTTTCAGTAAAAGTCATGACACCCTTTGGACTGACTGACAAACTGTCATCCAGTCTTACACCAGTGGGAGACACCATGTGTGGTTCTTGTGAGTTTGAGGCTCCAACTCTGAAAACAGCTCAACGGTCTCTAAACTGGAAACTGTCACTTCTGATGAGGGTTAAGCTAATCTTCATAACCTTTGTACACCTTTGGTAACACTTTAAAATAAAACCACTGCTATTACAGAAACAGAAACTGATGCTTAAAAAGAGTAAATGCTGATATTTTTTTCTATATGTTTATTTTATTTTGGCAGAAAACAATGTTTAAAAATAAACTGTCAAACTCTCTGTTTCACATTCAGAATAAGAAACATGACAGATGAATATTAGCGATCCATATCTGTGATTTGGGCTGATCTATGTTAGCTTTATTGTTTGCATTTATATTTTTGTTGGAATGTTGATATGTTTACCTCGAGGGAAAAATAATATGTCATATAAATAAACACCTTGAGCCGATGCTGATGTATATCTGCGCATCCCGACTTACATCGAAATAATGCAGAATCTACTAGAGATGCTCTTTTATTATTGTTGTTATTAATAATAAACAATAATCGTTATTTGTATGCAAAAAGACTCGCACGAATGCTTAGTATAAAATCCTTGGCAATTTAAAAGCTCCAAATATGCAAATATGGAAAAAAAAAAATCATATTTCAGAGAATATGAGTCCTGTGTTTTTTACCGATGTGACATCATCAAATAACTTATGTGTGCAAATGTGTCGAGTTATGACCCACATTTTGTCAGCATCTGCTGACCACAAAAAGCCAAACTCAAAATGGAGGCAGGAAAAATGAGAAACCATCAACTGCGCAACTAATACACACACACACACACACTCTTCACACAGCAGAGTGATGCTTTGGGATTATTATGCCAGGTTCAGGCGGTAAACTGCACTGAAGCCTTTATTGATGCTGCTCCCACTCTGGTCTATATTTTCCACTCTGAAGCAAACACATGCTGACAGGCTGCCATTACTGTCCTCCCCTCAGCATCCGTTCACACCTTAAACTGTTCAGATGCAGAGAAACAACTGCCTTAAATTCTCTGTCAGCCTGCTGCTGTCAATCTGCAGCATCTCCGACGGCCTGCCTGCTTCTTCTAAAATAACACACAATCATTGTGGAGTTATTTAAATAACTCCCAAATGACTCACAGTGCAGAAATACAGCAGTGCCACGGATGCAGCCAAGTGACAAAATTCCACATAATCCTCTCTTCTAGCAGCAAATAGTCATGCAGCCAACAGCTAGGAGTTAATCCGGCCGGATTATCTCTCTATTATTTCAGCGTTAACATCAGTGTTATCTGCAATCAGCATTCTAATTTGAGGCAGTTACTGCATCAGAGGCTTTGTTTGCAGTCTGTTGTAGTGACATTACACAGACACATGAGCTCCTCAGATAATTGCGATATCTTTAAGAGAGAATCCAAGCTTCCAACAACAACCGTCTGTGCAGCAACATGACAAAAGCGAATTATGTTATTTCGTTTGTATTACAAAACTAGGTGAACAGAAAGAGAAGGCTACCTAGCCTGACCTGTCTCCCCAATGTGATGTTTGTGTATTGTATGTACGGTCGGCAAGGTCTGTCATCTCGGTTGTGGGCAAAAGACCTGCAACTGACAAATAAAGGCTATCTCATCTCATCATCTCATCCCAAGTATGCACCAACCTTACCCCTCTGCTTCAAGGTTGCATAAATGACACTGCAGAAGGATTAACACTTGCCCCACACGCCCTCGTCTGCAGAGGTATGCGCATCAGAGCATTGCACAGAATCTGTGTTAGTGCGCTTAAGTGTGTCAGTGGGCCAGAGTCAGAGCAGCCCATCAACTGACACTGACGCTGCAGTTTCAGCTGAATACAAAACAGCAGCACACAGCAGTACACAGAAAACACGCTGCTTTTATCTCCTGCAGCAACACCTGCGTTCTATATGATTCAGAATAAACAGAAGCATCACAAAATGAACTGGCAAAGAGCAGGAAAAGCAGTGTTTGTGGTGTTGATGACACTCAGGATTGGTCCTGATCAGTCACTCACCCCGTCCCAACACTCAGGCATGGCTCCCTCTCAAGTCTACGCTCAGCTGATGAAGAAGAAGAGGAGGGTGCAGACAGGCAAGCGAGCAGCCAGACCTCTCCTGTGTTACGGGACTAGGTCCTGGTGAGGGTGGTCTGCAGGACGAAGGGTTGGCTAGTGGATGCTGCAGAGTCTTTGTCTGCTTTGCTGCGCTCCCAGCCACGCTCTTAAACAAGGAGCTGGAGCCGCCCTCCCCACTCCCACTCTCTCTCTCTGACATTCTGCAGGCACCCGAGGCAGGCCGGAGACAATTGGCTCACCGTGCTGCCTCCCCTCCCCTGGATTGGTCCGCTGGCCTGTGAGTCTTCTGTGGCTCTCGCATCAGCACCACTGCTCTACTTTTGATCTTGTTTTGCTTTGCTGTTTTTCTCAGCAACCAGTTACCTTTGAGCCTTTTCCTCTTCATGAATTATAGAAAACGTTTTGTTAAAAGCCTTTACTGTGTGCCAGACTGGACATGGCATTTAATGTGGTGATGAGATTGATTATTATGCAGTTAAAGGATATCATAAAAAGCCAAAAGGAGAAAACTGAGCTTTTGACTCACAGAGATTACTTGTACCTGATTGAGCTGAGTATAGCTGAGTATGTGAGACTTTGTTCATGTTTAATCTGAGCTTCAGACACCAACCTTTGGGGCAAGCAACAAGCAAAACTCAGTGTATGTTTGCATTCCTGGAAGTTAAGTACCAGCGAGGAGCATTTAACTAGACAGAGGTTTACAGCAAAGGAGTCACATGGGCCAAAGAATGAGTGGTGAGTGAGCCACATGAAGCCAAAGAGGTCAGACATTTAGGTACTGACAGGTATTGAACTGGTAAAGACAATGTACACAGAGTACAGCGAGCAATCAGTGGCAACACCTCAGCGTGTGTTGCAGATGATATACATCAGCAGGATAAAGTAGCATAGCACAAAAAAGCAACATGATGGGAATAGATAAGAAAATTAAAGTATCCCAAGAGAGGGCGCCACATACAAAGCTTGCTTAACATCTAAAAGACTGTAAGACGTCCTCACTCAAAGCTGTCAGCAAAAAGTAAGGTGAGCACCTGTGTTTTCCCTCCACCTTCATTTCTCTGGTCAACAACAACATTTTTCTGTGGGGGTCAAGCAAGACTCGCCATCACTATCAGACACCGTGCAGCTACAGTAGGAGAAATATTTATTTAATGCCCTGCTGAATTTGTAAGCTTGCTCACCACTAAGAAATAAAGAGACTCTGATTTTCATGGTCATTGCATTTTGCTATAGAAAATCTGTGGAGGCAGCTGAAGCTTCAAGTTAGCAAGCGGCAGCCAAGGAACGAGACGTGTGCGGACCTGGTGGCTGCTGTGCTCGCCAACAAGGGTTTCTTCACCAAGTACTAAGTCATGTTTTCCTTGGGGATCAAATACTCATTTAATTGTAAACAAATCAGTTTATAGCTTTTATTTGATGTGCTTTTCTGGAGTTTTGGTTGATATTCTATCTCTGTCAATTAAATTGAAACTACAATAAAAAATTATTTGTAAGTGAGCAAATTTACAAATTCAGCAGAGAACAAAATAATTGTTTCCCTCACTTTATGATGGGGCATACAGCTGGGACAGGGTGATGATCTGAGGGCAGAGACATAGGCCTGGGTTGTTTTTAAGCACAATAAATTAAGGTACACTGAGTTTAAACTCAATGCACAACAGTATTGATACTGTAATCGTGTGCTTGTGTATCATAAAACTCAGCTACAATAATACAGCCATCTGCCCAGCATGGTGTGGCAGATTTGGGTCATGGACAAAGACTCTCTGAGGGTGTCCTGTGCTGTCTGGCCCTGGGACACTGTCAGCAGAATATTTGGATCCTGCGAGCTGCAGTTTTAGGTCTCTGTGGATGAAGTGTGGTGTCCTGCTGTGAGAGCTTGCCGGAGCTCAGAGTAGCTTTTGTTATAGATGGAATCGTGCATGCTCAGCAACATTGCTGAAGTACGTGTGGTACGTGTCGAAGTCACATCCACATGAATGTTAGTACCTGATGTTTCCCTGCAGGGTATTGCTCTGTAACAGGATCGTTGGTGTTATCAGTCTTTATCTTTACTGAATAATACTGTGTACAGTTGCTGTATTTCTCCATTTTGAGGGAAGCATGCTAAGGTGGAGAGAGCGAGGGATACGTGCATGTTCTCATGGCTGGGATGGTGTCTGAGTGACTATCGAGCTGGCTGCAGGCCCTCCCCCTCTTCTCTCTGCGCTCTCATTTAGCAGCCCTGCATTTAGTCCTGTCTCTCAGTTCTCCCTCTTTCCTCTCCCTTTCTGCCTTCTTTTCTTTCCCACTCTATCCCCCTTTCCTGTTGAGAGAGAGCGCTCGACATGCTGACTTAGTAACTGTAAACACCACTCTTTGCTTTCCCATCCTTTCTCTTTTACTGTGTCCCCCCTTTCCCTTCCTGCTGGAGATTAACTCTCTCCCTGCTGAGTCTGCATCATGCTGTCTGCGTTAAACATACAGTCTCTGCCATCAAGCTTTCGAGGAGCAGCAATGGGAAAATCAACGCAGAAACGGATTCAAACGCAGGAATGAAATACAATATGTTGATCATTAAATGTCAAACATTTTTATCTCAGCAGCAATTCGTAGGCCCACGCAGGCACAACTATTCTGATTCCTCACGTCTTTTTTCAGATCATAATTTAAATTTGGTGCTGATCTATAATCATCTGAATGTCTATGAGCATTTCTACCAAAAATTTCACAATAAACTGATGTTTTCACATCATGTGATGAATGTAAATTTTAACCCAGTCAGTTCTTATACGCCTATATTAGGTCTACAGTCAATCAGTCTGCCAGCTTTAGAGGAAAAGAAAAAAAAATTTTTTTAATACAAAACATATAAATCATGATGTTTTTGTACACTTACTTTTAGTACCTCGACCTAACCAAAGAGTGAGTGAACATGAAAAAAGCCTCAAAGGGAACAGAAAGAAAATGTTACCAACTGGGATTAAACCTCAGTCCTCTGGAAGAAAATGTTCCTTTTACCAACAGCTAGAAGAATTTTTATGATGCAATCTTTTATTTGTAAAGAGAACAACAGCTTATTCACACCGTAGCCCGATAGACCAAAATAACGTTTTGAAATTTCCGTCCCTTTAATACGAGCAGCTTTACTGTGTGACTACAGACGCAGTGTCCACTGTTAGTTTGTGTGCAAAAATAAAAATGGCACATTGTGATTTCACAGCAGCCTACGCACTGTAATTGTTTCTTGGACAAAAAGGAGTAGATGCCCGCTGATATTTTGTTTACTATTAAAACCATAATCTGCATTTGTACATAAATGACAGTAATTTAAATCCCAGTGACTCTTCCCTACAATTCTAAAGTCTGCTTTTGGCACATTTCAGGAATCTCTCATCCGGCAAAGCTTTGTTCGATACTCTGATCAAACCAACTTCACATTTTCACAAATTCAGCAGAGATTTTTTTAGCTCATCGTCCATCTCCAAACACCTTACGATCGTAAAATTAGAACTGTTGATGAAGAGATGGTGTTTATTTATGGCTGTAGATTCCTGGGTTACAGCTGATCACTGGTTATATTAAAATACAGTAGCTCAAACAGCTGCAAAACCTGTTTCCCCAGCACGGAGATGCTGAATTGTATAAGGCAAAACCACAAATATGTGTCTCTGAGTCTTCTATCAAAAGTTACAGCTAACTCTAAGGATTCAGTAATACTAGCTGTACCTCTTAACATGTTCACTCTGAAACTGGAGAAAAGGAGTTCAAATGTTTGCTGCGTATAAACAGATTGAAGCAACATTATTTTATTTCACTTGGATATTAGATGCTTTAAACTGTTTTGGGCATTTGCAGTGGAGGGATAGTGGATATATTGGACAGTGAATACAGAGCTGCCAGGCAGGAGGAAAAGCGGAAGATGACAGATAAGATTGATAAATGTAGTGAGAAGCAGAGGGTTGGTGAGACAGTCCTGTCCCCTAAAGGGAGCAGCACAAAGAACAAGAAGAGGCGCAAGAAGTTCTGAACATCTGTATATTTTGTCTTTTGTGAAACCGTGCACAGTTATCGCTTGAGAAAAAAAGATCTCACTGCGACAGCCTGTTTAAATAAAGCTTTTAAGCTCCTTTTACTCAGGGAATAATTAACTAAGCTTATTTAAAACAACATGTGTATTAGCAGTGTTTCTGCAGTCAGAGCTGTGAATGTGAAAGACTTGGGGTTTTGTAATTAGAGTCAGCCCATCAGCTGCCACTATGTGCCTCCATTACATTAATGAGCGCTGTAATTAAACAATATAATGCAGATCGTTTGCATTATGCAAACAAATCGCAAAGGGATGCAAAACTACTACAAAAAACACAAAAGAAACCCAACAACAGCACAAAAGCAGCCATAAAATGACTTTAAACAGTTAAAACGTGAACCGACAAGGATCCAAACAGACCACAAAAACACTAAACCACAAAACGAGATGCCAAAGAACTGCAACAAGTTTTTCTGCCCCACATCTACTGCGTGTAGTGGGTCGAGGCCTTTCCTGGCTTGCTCTACTTCGGGGCTTTCCTTTTGATCTTAGATGCTGAATTCTGTTACTCATATTTTTGTTGAAGTCAAACTGTTTTATAACAAACTGTAAAGTCCTTTAAAAATCATTTTCATCTTTAGATCACACACATGTTCATACAGTCCAGTATCAATGCTGATGTTTTAAAAATAATGACGTACTTTGTGTCACCACTAGAAAGCTGTGTGAGAGCTCCTTTATCAGTTGAGCAATCACGATGGATCATGGAGGAAGTAGTAAAAACTTTCCCTACCCTACCCATCGTACACAGACTTTCACAGAAATCGCACATCACGTGGAAAAGAATGACTTTTATAAGTGAGGCAGAAACCTTTAAAATGCAGCGTTATCATCTGAAGCATCAGGTGGAAGTGTAAAGCAGACGTGTTCTGTGAAACGTCTGACGCTCAGCACACGTTTGATTAAAATAAACCAGCAGAGGTGAAGTGTGAAGCTCCACTCAAGGCTTATTCACCAGATTATGTAACAGTTCATGAAGGTTTATTCAGGTGTTATTAGCTAATTAGCTGGGTCCAGTTAAAAATCATGGCCCAGCAACCCATAGTCAAGTTGATGACAAAGTCGTTTTTGCTGTGAAAAGCCCTCGTTGTGAGTTTGTTTTATTGATTTATTGTTGGCTCTGTTGTAATTCTAGCTTTTGCTTCCCTCCTGTGTTTTAATGTGTATTCTCTGAGTCTCAATGGGACTACATGTATAAATAAAAGTTTAATTAAACGTTCCGGGAATGATAATACTTCAAATGTGATGCAGGTCATAAAATGTGCAAATTTAGATAACAGCAGTTATTCTATATGTTGCAAATAAAAGACATTTGTTTACTTGATGTTTGTGACACTGTGATGCCTCTTTATGGTCAGCTCTGTGTTCTATGTACCAAGTAGCCAAAATGTAACTTATATATTCAAGGCCACATTTTAAGAGCTAAACTACTCAGCTAAACCAAGTCAGCACCAATGACACAAATATTTAAGAGCAAAGGTTGCACAAGGAAGCAGGCTGAGTTGAAGGAGGATAAGATATTCTTTGCTGATCCCCATATGGAAACTCATTTACTGAATTAGGAGCAATTAGCAGCTATCATAAGGTGTCAGGGGACCAACTCGAACCTGCAAGCCTTGGTCCAGGGAGAATTAATCAGTGCCAGTATAAAGAGAACACACACAGAAGGGTCCCACTCTGGCCTGCATTCAAACCTAGTGCTAACTACTGAGCTATTGCACTGGCCATAAGGACAGAGAGGGTGTTGAGACTAGTAGTTAAACATATGCCATTTTATGACCAGTAGTCAGTGTAGTAAATTAGGTTAACAGATGTAGGCCATATATTATCCTTTAGTTCTGATGGTGTGCTATGTATGTAGTTTAGTCTCTATTATACTCTTGAATAAAAGAAACATAATCATTTTGTAGTTCATTAGATAAAGTGTGCATTACTCTGTATCCTTGATCAGCTGTGAATGTCTTACACTGTTTTCTTGAAATGTTTTATTGCTGAATCATGTGAAGTAGACTAGGTGTCTGGGCAGAAGAGATAAAACCACATTCCTTAACCCCCTTCCTACTTCACACGGAAAGACAGGGAGGCAAGGTCAAGGAATTAGAAAACATGTGAAGATGCAGCTTTTATGACAAGGAGGGGGGCTGTTACTAGCTATAAAAGTCTGTGAAAGTTGCTACCATTTTGAGACATGCTGTTGACCCTCTGCAAGCATCTCTCCCGTCCGGACGCTGTAATGCTCTGATTGTTGAATTGTATGGAAATAAATGATTGTTGATTGAGCATTTATACACCGAGTATTGTCCTTCCTTCAGCCCAAAGATTAAAAGAATCGGGAGATTTCAACAAGGGTTAGCTTGAAAAGTTTTACAAGCAGCAGTGTGTTTGAGTGTGGATTTACAGTACTTAGCAGGATTAGGAGAAAAAGATCAGTCCAAGCAAGAAGCACACTACATCGCCAGATGTAGCTTCTAAGTAGTTCCAATACTGCTCAATATACATTTGATTTTTTTCAATATTTAGCAATATATTGGTGCCAGTGTCCAGAAGGCACTTCCATACTTCACTGTCATCTCCCTCTTGAAGGGATCATTTGATTCAGGAAGACATCACTGTTTACCCAAGTAAGCTGACACAAAGTAATAACAAAGAAAGATGAAAAGGCCACAAAACACATGATAAAAAAGGTAACGGAGAGAGAAAGTCGAGCTTCCTCTCTCACACATCTACTCATACCTTCCAGTCACCTGGTGGCATCAGCTGTTCACAGCTATCCTGCAGAGAGAGACAAGCAGACATAACAGACAGAGAGAGAGAGAAAGAATTAAAACTGGAAGAAGAAGTAGTCTGAAGTCACACAAAGAAATATTCCTCACACGTGCACTGTTGGAACTGAAGAGCAGCACAGACTGTGCACTGTAGGTCCAAACCACAGACACACAACAACACAGTTTCCCAGAGGCGCACAGCACACAAAATGCACTGTACTGTCTGTGACTTTTACAGTCATTATGGTAATTTCTGTGACTCTAAATATACATGTGTTTTTACACAACAGTCCGAATGGATTCAACAGAGGGCAAGACAACCTGAAGCTGCAAATCAGCACAGTGTTTAACTCCTCTCTGCAGTCACCTGCAGAGAGGAGTTAAACACTGGTTAACTCCTCTCTGCAGGTGTTATTAAGCATCTGGTTATTGCTTAATAACTTCTTGATAGATAGAATTATTATATCATTAAAACTGTATGCGGAAATAACTGAATTAATCTTCAAGAACTGTGTAAAATTACAGAACCGGATAAAACCACAGCTTTGATTTCATGGTTATCGTGCTTCTTCTTTATGAATGTACCATTTTGGATGCCCAATTTGATATTTTACATACAACGTAAATGTTGCTTATTGAGAAAGAAAGAGGGAAACAATAAACTGAAGACGCCTGCGTCCACACACACAGGACAGTGCTGCAGAGAGCAGTAAAAATCAGCAGAATCTGAAATGCAGGCTTTCTTTCCAGCACTGACTATTTTTCATTTTGATTCCTGAGCCACAGTATACTTGATGCAATGCAATACTAGATAAACACTGATAAAAAAGTGTTCTTACTTTACATCTAGTTAATAGTTTGCAGTCTATCAAACGTCTGCGTGTGCGGTTAGTGCTGTAATGTGCATTCCCATTCAACAAAGATGATTTATTAAAGCGCATGTGGGAAACTGGGAACAAATCCGCAGTAAGAAAAGAAAAAGTGATGGAGAATGGTGATTTTTAAAAAAAAAAGAAGTAAACAGCCAGATCCCCTTGACAGGAGCCACTTCAGCAGCGTGTGCAGCTGTAATGCTGAGGTAAATGATCGAGGCATAAAAATAACACTTTTGTCGTCTGGCCTCAGCGGTGAAATGAGTCACGTCCTCTGGGCCAGTCTGACACCTTCACTGCCAAAAATAAAAAAAATCAAATTCAGAGACTGATTGATGACAAGCTGGTTTGAGTCAACGTGACAGCTGTGACAGTCAAAGCGTTCCAGCTCTGCCAGACAAATTATTAATCAGACAGTCGATATTTTTTAATCTTGCACGAGGGGCTCACTTTTTAGGGAACCTGGTCTCGACTGACAGTTGAAAGGATGGGCTCACCTTTTCTAAAGTCTTAAAACAACGCTCACACGTGAGATTTCAATCAAGTGACTCTCATCCAGAGTAAAATTTAATTTAAAAAAGTACTTGCTGCTGAAGTTATGGTAACACATGTACAGGTTTAAGTCGACAATACAAAATATTAAGCAGAATATAATATTAATATCCATTAAAAAAATCATCCCAGGATATGATGCTACTTTAAAAAAAAAAACACTTTTGATATTAAAGTGATATTTTTTATATTCCTGATGGTAACAAGTTAAAATGACATTTCAAGCTCAAAAAACGGCGAGTATCATAAAACATACTGTTAATGGTATGTTAATTAACATTATGTTAATGGTAGAAAACTAAAATGCTATTATGATGGTATACGAACTAATAAAATTAAGTAAATATGTCCAAACAGACAATATTTTTTGATATTACAGTGAAACCACTGTTTTAATGGACAACCCAACAACTACTGATCCGGCTCCATAAAAGTAACATAAGAAAATCAATCTTTTTGGTGTTTATTGGGGTCTGGGCCATAGAGGCAGTGACCTAGGCAGAGATTGTGCCACCCTCAGCCCTCAGCATGTGTTAGGTCTGCCCCGGGATCTCCTCCCATTCCCTAAACACCTCACCAAGGAAGCATCCAGGTGGGGTTCTAGTCATGTCTGACCTACCTCCACTGGCAGCGTCCAATCTAGAGACATACATATTAACTGGAAAGCACGCTATATCAGAAAGGGAATAGCTATTTAAATGTACATTTTTAGCCATTTATTAAGGAATTTTTACTTTTTTAAATTTCATAATGATGTCATTAGTATCACACACGTGCACAGTTTTAAATACAGGCAGACACTTGATTTATGTCCCACAGTATCCCACAGTTCATCACGTTTCAGTGCTCAGCTAAACTGATGTTTGTTTTAAGACACAAATAAACACAGTGAGCCCATCGTTTGAGAGCAGATGTATTTATAAAAAGCTTTTTTCTTTTCTGTCATAAATAAATGCATCCTGATGTGTAATAAAATAACACATGATTAGGAGTAACATTTAAAAGGATTTTGTTGCCATTTGTCATGACAACGGTGACTTCACCCATCCTAACCTGTGTTATTTTGGAATGTATCACTTATTCTTTCTCTGCTGCTTTTGGAAAGCTTAAAGCAGAGCAGGAACATCTGGAAATCCGGTAAAAAAAAAAAAGTGAGTGCATGCACATGAGGTTAGACACCAATCAGAACATCACACAGATGGTCTTCACACTGCTTCGTTATTAAACATGCACAGTTTGAGTCTTAGGTTGTGAGTTTATATGAGGGATTCTGGAAACATTTCTGAAAGAAAATATGACAACATTAAAAATGGAATCTGCACATATGCATAGTCAAAAGAAAAAGTGCTGGAATAAGGGATGATAGAAGTTTAAGTAATTAGCAATGAATACTGAAAAAAAGGAAAGGAGTGGCACTCAGAGTCAGATCAGGGACACACCTAAAAAGAAAGAAAGATGTCACTAAAAACAGCGGGACCTGAAGTTGCCCAGCAGAACAGAATGAGCTAACTGTGTGGTTGTTAGAGAAGGTGAAGGTGTGAGGGTGACACAGAAACGTAAAGGGCAACTTCGGTCCCCGCAGATTTCATGCATTGTTCTCAGATGGAAAATGTTAGTGATGATAGTACGGTGGTCGGACCAGCAGGTGGCACTCTTCTCTTTCTTATTACTCCCATCCCCAGCAGAGTAGGGGATGTGCTGCATTTCAGTTCAGGGAAAAGGAAGATCACAAACACACTGCTCATGGAAACCAATAGGGATGAACTCTTAGAGATGGTGTAAGGCTTCCTTTACTGCAGGTGATCCCCACAGACTGTGTACTCTGTAAGGCTGCATAGTGACGCTGTTGTGGAGATGTTGTGGTTCTTTGCCGGCATCTCTGACTCGCTGTCAGTAGCTGGTTTAGTGAATGTTTGCCTTCATTTTTAGGGGTTTTCTTTTCTTCCCCGCCAGATATTTTTGTTGAAATGCAGGACTACGTATAATTAATCAGGTAGAGAAAGATCTGAGGAATGATGTGATAAAGTCTGATCTTAGAACGGAGAGGGGAAACAATGTTGTCATTGAGGCAACAAGTATAAAGCAGCATAAATAATACTCTACAAGATAGTAGGCCTAGTCACAGGTTTGTGTGTTGCAAGTGGTTTTATAGATTATATATAAGAGTAAGATATGGGGATTTTATTGTGAAAGTATTTGACGTATAAAGGAAAATATGCACTGCAAACCAAACATGTTTCTTCTGCAGCTGTTAACACATTTAAAATATTTAACATTTAAGAATAAAACATTGAAAAATAAAATTGGAAGTCTAAAAAATTACATTTGATCAGAGTTAAAGGCTAATTTGCAAAGCTGTGGTAGTTTCCAGGTCGGTTGTTTTTTTGACACATTTTTTACTTTTTTCTTGTAATATGATTATATTGATATATGATATAATATTTTTATGTGATATAACAAACTACGTATGGTAACAACGCTTCAGTTTTATTGTTTATTCATTTGGTGAAAGAGAAAAAACTGATGCTCGGTCATTGGACCTAGTTTTTGTTTGTTTATAGAGTTTGACTCTGAATCTGACAAGAAGTTTACAATGCGTCACTACAACTGTCATGCTAGCTACTGTCATGCTAATACTGATACTAAATGCTACATTCTTCTATAGTGACAATGACAATTTGCTGATGACACCCAGTTATATCTCTCTTGCAAACCTGATTCCTCCCTCCCACCTTCTTCCCTTACAGAATGTCTATCCGAGTTAAAATCCTGGTTTAGCTCTAATTTTCTAAAGCTCAATGAGGATAAAACTGAGATCCTCCTTATTGGCACCAAATCCAACCTTTTGAAGGCAAACCATTTCTCACTCACCATCGATAACTCCACAGTTTTCCCTTCTCCTCAGGTTAAGAGCCTTGGTGTCATCCTAGACAGTACACTTTCTTATAAATCACACATCAATAACCTCACCCGTTCTGCCTACTTCCATCTACGTAACATTAATAGATTGCTTCCTTCTCTTTCCACCCAGTCTACGTCCATTCTTGTCCATAGTCTTGTTACCTCCCGTATTGACCACTGCAATTCTCTTTTGCATGGTCTCCCCCAAAAATCCCTCCATAAGCTTCAACTGGTTCAGAACTCTGCTGCTCGCATTATCACCAGAACCCCCTCCTACCAGCACATCACCTGTTCTTCAGGAACTTCACTGGCTCCCTGTGAAATTCCGGATAATTTTCAAACTTCTTCTGCTCACCTTCAAGGCCATTCATAACCTCGCTCCTCCTTACCTTTCTGACCTGTTAACCACCACCTGTTCTGCCCGTTCACTTTGTTCTTCTTCTTCTATCCAGCTTGCTGTACCTTCCTTCCGCCTCACCACCATGGGAAGCAGAGCTTTCAGCTGCTCTGCTCCCAGGCTGTGGAACTCTCTGCCCCCAGAAATAAGAAACATTGGTTCTCTCCCCCAGTTTAAATCCCAACTCAAAACTCATCTGTTCAAATCTGCATATTCACTGTGAATCCACTGTTTGTTCATTTTATCTTGTGCTTTTATTTTATTGTTCTTATTCTGCCATTGTTTTACTAAGTGTTTTATCCTATTGTAAAGTGTCCTTGGGTGACTTGAAAGGCGCTCATAAATAAAATTTATTATTTTTATTATTATTATTATAATTTAACACAATTTATGTTTAAAAAAATATCATAACCATAATTACCGGTGCCAAAAATGGCAAATATCTTTACATAAACCTTTACTTGTGTTGAGATTTTTGAATTTAAAACTAAATATTGTGAACAATTTACTGATCTTATTACTTAAGTGAGATTTTCTACACAGGAACTGTTTTTTACCATAATTGCTCCCGACTTTGTCATCCACCTTAGAATATTAAACATCTACTTTAGTGTCTAGTCTAGTGTGTGTTTGAATCAGTGTACTAGTGATCAGATGTTTCTACTTGTTATGGTAGTTACCGGGAGGACCCCGCTGGTCCGACGGCGGGTCTGGCGGAGCCAGTGCCGTGCGAAGACATGCCAGCGGTGAGTGGAGCGACTGGGGGGAGGGGGGTTGTTAAGAGGCGCGGGGGCGGTGGGGCCCTGGAGCCCCCCTGATGCCTCCTCTCCTTTATCCTGCTGTGTTGTGAAACAAGCATAACAAGGTGGTTACTGGGAAACATCTGGGGAAGACATAGCAGCAACATACAGTCAACATGAAAACATGCTAATCATTCATGGTTTATTTCTAATACGCTTAGAAATGAGCTCCAGGGGTGTCAAACATCAAACATAAGGTTCACAGGCCTGATCTAAATTCATATACGCTGCATGTTTTTGTCCCTCGATGGGTAAAAACTGTAAACCTTAAAGTGAATGTGCGGGAAAAATCCCACAACTCTGACTATCTATGTGTTTTGGACATTTTCAGAAGGATCTTTTACTTCTCTACTAAGACCGAGTTTATTAATATTAATTACTTTAAATCAAATTAGAATGAACCGGCATTTATATTGTGACTTACCAACAAAGCACCACTGGGCTGTAAATCAGGCCAGTGAAAAATAATGAGTTTGACACGCCTGCTCGAAGCCTTTAAATGTCCAATAATGAGTTTGACACGCCTGCTCGAAGCCTTTAAATGTCCAAGGAAGGAGATTTCTTGCGTAACTTAATTGCTTTGTTTCTGTTCCAGTGTCATCCCAAAAGGTCAGGCTGAAGATCTGTGGCCTTTCTTTTATTGAGGAACAAGTTGTGGGCAGAGACCTGCTGGAGTAGACTGTCCACATGCAACTCAAAACCAGGACCATGCTGGATTCATATCACAAGGGAAGCTTCAGAGCGGAAAAGTGTGTCTCAGCTTTTAGACATACTAGATGTCATGTTAGAATGAATTATTATTACAGGTTATATGATATAATAAGACATAAGTAACATTTTGTGCGATGTCCTTTTAGCCTTAGTACCCCTAAAATCTAAACTAATTCAAATTTCAAGCACTAGTAAGTTAGTGTACAAAAATCTTTTATTTGTTATGAGGCTTTTAGTGTGAAACAACAGCTGTTGTTGTTTTTTCCTTGGCTTGTGGTTATTCATGTCGCAGCAATATTATATTATGCTGAGAAAAAGAAAGCATAATGCTGCCACCACCGCGCTTCACTATAGGGACGTATTAGTTAGAGAACCTTCTAAGTTTTTTCTACCATTTAAATGCACCACTGTTAGTTTATTTCTAGTTTTAAAAGCTCAGACACATGAAAATCTTACAGTTTCTGTTTCGCTGGATTTTAGGACGTCTCCGCTGTCCCCATATGAACTGAATGCAGCATTAGTCCGACATGCCTTACGACGAGTTTACCAGTGTTTGGTTCCAGAAGGTAATCACTCAGTAACCGCTCTTAAAGGTCACTAACATGCTACTGCAAACACCGGAGCAACAGACTTTGAAAGAGCTGGGGGGGATAAAAGTGTGAACGATAACTTGAGTCGTGCAGACACGTAGCTTGATCGATGGCTCCGTTATTTACAAGCAGAGAGTCGTAATGAGCAGGGCTAACAACCTTTAGCTGATCAATGGCAGAATTAGTCGTTCATATTGATGCGTGGCATGTTGTGCTCCTTCAAATAAGCTACTGAGACAAAAAAGACCTACTCTATATACTAGATGTCTTATTTCTGACGCACTGGTAAAGTGAGTCACGCCTAATGTGGTTTTATTTGCCGCCTCTCTGATTCCTCCAGCACAAATAAGAGGCCTGTCTGAAGCACAGGACTTGTCCACATGTATTTATGCTTGTTTTCGTGTTCTTCTGGGTTTGATTGATGTTGTTGCCAATTTGTTTCTATGATGATCACAACAGCTTTGTCACAATTGCCCAATCAGGGTGCGCAATCAATTTTCTTTCTCTGAACTTGCCCTGCTGTATTGGCTCAAGCATCCTTCATCTCTTTTCTTTCTTCTCCATTAACACAAAGTCACTTCACCAGGAAATTGCTCATATCTGGCCTCTTCAAGTAACTTTTTCATTTGGTATTGTCTATACCATTTTTATCATTACTGCAATGAGAGGCATTCAAGCGCCCCTGACTCAGCCACAACTTGTACCTGTTGCTTATTTAATGGATAAGTGGACTGGAATAAGTGGCTCTTATTTAACCACCTACTGCCTATTCGCTGTTTTTCACTCTATGTCCTGCACCGCTCCCTCTCTCTCTCTTACCCTCCTCTTAAATGAGCTTTCATCTTCTCACAGTGCTGCTATCAAAGAGTCATGGTTGGATGGAGTTCATTAATTTCCTCCTCCACTGGTAAACAAGCTCATTGTCTAATTATAAGTCATCACAGCTAATGAGCACAAACATCTCCGTTATAATATGCCAAGAGTTTCTGAGGACGTCGTCCTGCGCACGCTAATCAGCTACAAGACAGGAAGGTTAATGGCAACAAAGAGAACGCACGGTAAATAAACAGGTCGACTAACCATGTCTGAGTCCACTCCTCTCTGCTCCGGCAGCAGGGGCTTCTCCTCCGTGAACTGCTGCTCCTTCATCCCCGCCATCCTGGACAGCAACCTGCAATCACCATGGCAACACGCAGAAAAAGACACATCTAAGGTTACGCTCGCATTTCATCACACAGAGCACGCTGTGGAGCTGACCTTAAAACAACAGTTAAAATAAAACAATCATTCGCATCTCTGTGAGAAGACGGCAGCGGTGACGTCCTTCACCGGATGATTTCAGAAATTTGGGAGGAATCGGATCGCTGATTAAATGTTTCTGCTGACCTGGAATAAACAGAGCTGCTCACAGATGAGGAGCTGATTGGAAACAGAGACGGAATCATGATGCAAAACAGCTTTGCTACAAACCTGCTGCCATCCTTTGAAAAATTTTACAGCAATGAAAAATGTATTTCTATCACTTTTTGGAAACATAGAGACAAAATTTACATATACAGTGGGGGAGAGAATCTAGAGCACAGTAATGACCAGAATTTTAAAAAGCCTGGGAGAAATGTCTAAGAGCAAATCCCCCACAGTGAGTCAGTCGATCCACTGGAGGCATTTATGACATTTGTAGATGCATATTTTTGCCTTCTCTTTTTGTGCTATTGGTTGTAACAAAAGGGTAAAACATGGCAGTTTTATCCAAAAATAATTCAAGAGCACAATTAAACAAAAAATGACTCCAAGAATGCATTTCATGTTAAACCTGAGCCCTAAATTTAAAGTGATGCTTTTTCTTAAACATCAATGTACACTTCTGTAAATGCTTGTTGGTAGCTTTTGAAGCATGTTTCATAGACTAGCTTCTGGCTTCGAAAGCACAATATACTAGCAACCAAAATGCTAATGTTAAAGCTTCTTGTTCAAAATCCGTGAGTGATGTTGCTATGATTACGCCCACTTTTTATATAAAAAAAAACATGCTGTATTTAAACGCTACTGTAAACATGTAAATACTAGAAAATGTTGCAGCAGCCAAACACATGCCAACTGGTCTCTAACAAGTTAGTTAGCAGGTATGATAGCGCTCCATGCTCTTGTTCAAATATGGCTAATGCTTGCTCCAAAAACATGGCTGTAGCCAAAATACTAACACTGAGGCTTAAAATGCACACACTATAAAATATGGGCTAAAGCACAGACACTATGTCCATCTTTTACATAGTGTGTGGTTCTGCACAATTCTAGACTCTGTATGTCAGTCCCCGAGGAGTAAACCAAAGTGGAGAGGAATAAAGAGGAAAAGTATGATCATCACTGTAATGATCATACTTTGCAAAGTAACAAAAACGCATTCACAATTGGAGTGGACATAGATGCTTACTGACCGCGATTCCTCTTTTAAAAGTGGAGCTTGGGAGTACACACGCTGCAAGAAAAACAGGGCTACGTGAAGGTCTGATCAAGCAGGCTTATTGTGCTTTACAACACGGCCACAGCACGTAGTTACACACAAGGAAGCCAACAGACACTGACACATGAACACACCCTGCGAGTGGGCTCAGCCAGCATCAGAAGATTAACAGTGCTAGATGTTGACATCAGTCCACCAACAGTGAAACACAGAGGAGCATGCCCACGCTCAAAGGGCTCAGGGCTAATTTAGCTGATACTGCAGGCCTCAGCACTGGAAGGCTTTGTTGCATTTATTTTACATTAAATAGCACTATCAAGACAAACTGAGGAGATGCAATGCCCTTCACTGGTAACCATCAGCCCAAATCAGCTGCATGCACGGCTGACAGAATTGTGTTACAGTTTGATTTCAAAAAGTACTTCACTCTATACACTTTAAGGACTTTCTCTGCCTCACATTTATGGCCAGTTTCATCACCAATTAGGCTAACATGCACATCTTTGGACTGCAGTAGAAAGCCAGAGCACCCGGAGGAAGCCCACGCAGGCAAAGAGCAAAAAAGGAAAGGCCCCAGCCAGGATTTGATCACTGTAATTACATTGCCACTGTGTTGCTGTCTGTAAATGCTAACCACTTTCAGGCTTTGGTGAAGCATGTATGGATTCTGTAGGTGACCATACAAAGCTGCAGGTATGGTCACCAGCTAACTGCCTTGTCAAACCAACTCCTAATATTTTCAGTAATAGATGTGCAGCAGGTGTTATTTGACATTTTCCTTTTCAAATTTTCTCAAATTTCAGTTACATGAATCGATTAAATATCAAAGCAATAGATACTGAAAATATAACATAAAACCAAAACTATATGAAATATCCAAAATGTTTAATGAGATTTGGATAAATCCCCTTCAGCACCACCCTGACCGTGACATCATCATCTCTGCGTCTGATCCCTTCTGTCTCATTTTTCATTCTCTCCAGCCTCTTTTGTCCTCTACTGCAGCCTCTCTCCTCTCTCTGGCAGTCATGCAGCATAATCTCTGCGTTTTATCCAACACCCTTAAAGAGACAAAGCCCAGATGCCACTTACACTTGCTCCTGGACGCTGATGAAGTGTGTGTTTGTGTGGGTGTGTGTGACCTTACAATGTCAGAACTACTACTTAACATGGAAAGAATCTTCCACCCTAGGAAACAAAACACATCATCGCAGCAGCGTTTTTTAAGCAAAGCTTCACCAGTCAAAACAAATATATGACTTGCTCTGTCTGTGCTAGTGGCAGTGACAGAAGGTGACTTTCTGAGCACAGAGTAGACTGCAGCCTTTGTGTCTGGTGCTCAACTAAATTCTCCAGAGCTGAATGCCTACGTCAGTTTACTGAGTCTGTCACTTAGTGCTGGGCATGTGTTTCATGGCACAGAATATATAGAAAGTCACTGGGACCTAAAAACTTCATGTATACAATCACAAGTTAATTTATTTTTAATGTTTTAAAAACAAGAATTAAGAATGTATGTTGTGGTTTTGGATGTCTAACACAGTATTTTGTGTGCTGAACTTCTAAGTCCTGCTGATTGCTGGTTTATATTTTTGGTATTCCTTCTTTCAGTTTACCCTTCCTCCCTTCTGTCACCCTTCCATTGTAAAAGTCTCAATCAGTGATTTCCCCAGTTTACTTATTTCCTGTTTTATTTTGGTAAGCCCTTTCTTGTATGTTTGGTATTTAGTTTTACCTTCCCTGTCTAGTTTTCCTGATTAGTTACAGCTGTGTTCCCTGGTGTTTCTGTGTGGAGAGAGCGCTGCTACGCACCTAGCGCTAGCATTGGAAGGAGATGCACTGCAGGTACTCCTTGACCTAGCCCCGGCAGAGCAGCATGAGCTCCAGGCCCTCACCATGGCATCAAGAGGCGATTTGGGCAGCGGCACTCCACTGATCAGAGCAGGGAGCATCTGACCATCCGGCCGAGGGAGAGCCTGGGCACCTTTGCAGTGGATGTTTTGCTGTATGCTTGTCGTGGCTACCCGGATTTCCCAGCAGCAGCCCGTGAGGAGCTTAGCCTGCATGCTTTTCTGCGAGGACTCTTTCCAGAGTGACTGCGCCAACACGGACGCCTGGCCATGCCTCGAACTTGGGCGTCCCATCGACAGACCGACCGTTGCTACCGGTGTGATGAGCCTGGCCATGTGGCACGCGACTGCCTGGCGCCCGCCCCGAAGACCAGAACTATGCGGCCTCAGGGAAACAAGAGGGGGAGCGGTGTAGCGAGGGGACCACCGCTCCAGCTTCCTGCCCCCCTCCAAGAACAATGCACGGTGGTGGGCCGAGTCGGGCATATCAAGGGACTCTACCTGAGCTGCTGTGTTGAGGACCAGCCCTGCCGGGCTCCGGTGGATACGGGGTCTACTATTTCCCTAATACGACCTGGGGTGCTCCCTGGGACGTCCGGGCCACTTGTGATGGGTTGGTCACCCACCGACACCCAGCTGATGACGGTGACAGGGGATAGGACTGACATGCGGGGGAAGAAACCATTGCGGATCCGAGTGAAGGATCTGGAGCTGGTGCATGACTTCTGGCTTGCTGACATCCAAGACCAGTGCATCATCAGCCTTGATCTACTGACCCGCTGGGGGGCCTGTGTTGACACCGTAAAGCTGGCTATCACTCTTGGTACAGAGACTCTGGCCCTCCAGTGCGGCCAAAAGCAGGGAACGGAGGGGACCACAGACAGACAAGCCGGGCTTCAGGCAGCTGCCACTCAACAGACTTCGGATGCCGGTGGCTCTGGACCATCTCTACTCGCCTCAGCCCCAGCCTCTAGGCCAGACAAACCTCCCTCGACCGAGACAACCCAAGCTGTTGATGACCTGTGGCAGCGCAGCAGCGTAGGTCTCAACGTTGACCAGTGCCAGCGGTTGAGGTGCCTCCTGGACGAGAATGTGGACATCATCGCCGCTAGTGACAAAGACTGCAGGCAGACGCGGCTGGTTCAGCACACCATCGACACCGGCTCTGCTCAACCCATCCGTCTGCGCCCACACCGGCTGCCCCTCTCGAAACGACAGGAGAACCGGGCCCAGGAGGCACTGGGCATGGCTACTGCTCAGGCCACAGCCACCCGAGGGGGATGGCTCCCATTGACCACGCAGCAGCTGAAGCGGGAGCAGGAGGCTGACGCAACGTTGGTTCAGGTGAGGGCCTGGCTGGAGGCGGCACAATGCCCAGGTTGGACGGGGGTGTCGGGACAGGGGCTCGAAGTGAAGGTCTACCACTGCCAGTACAACAATGTGGAGACCCACGACGGCCTCCTAGAAAAGAGCCTGCGACACCAGGTGCCAAGGGGGAGCTTTCATGCCTGGCGACAAGGTTTGGGTGTGCTGCCCGGTTCGCAAGAGAGGAGTGCCCCCCAGGCTGTGCAGTCACTGGCAAGGACCGGCAGAGGTCGTGGAGCGGCTAACAGAACTGGTTTACCGTATCTGCATACCAGGCCCGGGGCGCATGGTAATGTTGCACCAGGACAGACACCGTACCGACCGCCCGCTCCAGCAGCCGCCGGGGCAGGGGATGTTGGTGGCACCCCATGTTCTGATGGGGTCCCCTGCTATTCGAGATCGCCTTTGTGTTGGGTAATGGGGTTGTCAGGGACGACTGACCCCTTAGGTGTGGGCTATGTAGTGGGTCAGGGGTGTTTGGCGTTTGACAGCTAC